TTTTAAAAAGAAGGAAATTTGATAAAGGAAATACAAATTTTAATTTTTCTTCAGAGACTTGTACCACATGAAAATTCCTCTCCCAAGAAAAAGTGTTCTATGGAGGGGAAAAGAGTGTTCCGTTCCCACCCGAAGACCTGGAAAATAAGAGAATATCGACAAGAAAGCACAAATGCCCTTCAGAACAAAATGTATCACAATTTGACGTACAAGACAGCCATGAGGGTCCTCCAGAGTATTCAATTTTCAAAGTGGGAATAGGCATACGCATTTTGAGTGTAAGGACTTGGAGAAGCTTACATGGAGGGAAGAGTCTACCGTCCTTTAATTCCCAACAGGAGCCAGTCAACCGATGAGCGTATTGGTTTGAGAGTTTAGTTTGTGAGCAACGAACATAGCGGATCGGTAAACTTTAATCTACTTCCAGAGCTTCCGCAAGGACATGTTCTTATCTGTATCCTTCTTCATTACCTTCGCAACTGCCATCTCAAAATCTTCCTGTGTCACGTGCACTCTTCTTTCCCTTAGAGCAAACATTCCAGCTTCTGTGCAAACGGCCTGCAATAAACAGGAGATCGACATTGAAGTTCATCTGAAGCAGAAAACAGGAGAGTTTCATGTAGAAGTCTGACCAACCTTAAGTTCAGCACCAGATGCACCATTCATCTTCTCAGCAATCTTCTTCAAATCAATCCCCCGCATTAGGTTCATTTTTCTTGAATGTATTTTCAAGATATCAAAACGAGACTGCATTGAGAGATGAAATATTGTAACGTCATACAGATTAAAAAAGACAAAAGTGAATGGCCTATATTTCAACACAGTTCTAAAGTTTGAGATCTAAGTATTAAACTAAACATAAAGCTGAAGGATTTAAGGAAATATATGCTATTATATTTCTAAAAATATATAATTCATAAATATTTTTAAAAAATAAGAGGAGGTCCATCAGATTTCAGCTGCACTGCACACCATCATTTACGGGGCGGCTAAAGATCTTTTTGCAAGTCTGTGAGTAGGGTGGTGCCACACCATATGCTCAGGCTGTTTCAGTCCATTTTTAACTTCTAGATCTAACTCATATTTCGATGTGGACAAACAACTTTCCACCATACCTGAAACTCCTTGATGAATCTCCTAATAAAAATTTCTAGTTGGGCACAAGGATATAAAAGGAATCACCCTCAATTGATTAAAGATATTTTTTTTTATATAAGAAACTGCACTTTTCATTAAGATAAATGAAAAAGAGAACAAAAACACAGCCCACGGGCATACAAAAACAAAAGCCCATCAAGGGGAGCCCTAGCGAAAGAAGGTCTTCCAATCCAAAAGAATATAACCTACCTAACTGAATTGATTAAAGATTTTGAATATTACACTACACTTCAGCCTCATTTTCTTCAACTTTAAATAGTTGATGAATAAACACATTGCATGATCTCAAATACAAGTACTTAGAAAATTTTAATAAAACGTAGCTACCCAGAAAATTTTCAGAAAACAAGAGAGGAAATGGTTCAACCAGGATATTTAACACAGTTATGTACCTCCTCATTTGGATTTGGGAACTCAATTTTTCTATCAATTCGTCCAGGTCTGAGAAGAGCTTGATCAAGAATATCAATCCGATTTGTGGCCATCAAAACCTGTCAATACGATGGTAGTTAGTACACCATGTCAACAAGCATGATGATTTACTAATTCTTTTCAAAATCTACAAAACTTAGCCACACAGACCTTGATCTTGTTTGACGCTTCAAAACCATCCAGCTGGTTAAGAAGTTCCAGCATTGTTCTCTGCACCTCACTATCACTATTACCACTCCCTGATTCCATACGAGCTGATCCAATACTGTCAATTTCATCCATGAAAATGATAGATGGAGCATGTTCCCTGTAGAAAAGTTAACAAGTTAAGAATAGAATGGAAAGGAAAACCTTAACCTAAATCCAAATTGTTAAATTATTCAAAACAAATACTAAAAGAAATTCTAAACAGACCTGGCCATCACGAAAAGCTCTCTAACCATTCTTGAACCTTCTCCAATGTACTTCTGCACCAGCTCAGAACCAGAAACCCTAATGAAAGTACAGTCGGTGTGATGCGCTACTGCCCGAGCCAATAATGTTTTCCCAGTACCAGGAGGTCCATACAGCAAGACACCCTATCCATTATTTAAGAAAGAAGGCAAAAGTGAGACTCGAGGAAAAATATACCAGCAAATGGAAGCAGTTCTTGGTCCATATTATAAAATTACCTTTGGTTGAGCTATTCCAAGACTTTCAAATAATTCAGGATGCTTGATTGGAAGTTCAATGACCTAATGAAGAATTCAAATGAGAAAATATGAAACAATGATTTCACATTTCAAAATTCAAACATAAGCTCACAGTTGATTGATCAACATCCTACAAGCAAAGAAAGTAAATCAGAGAATGTGAACTGATGGAAGAACAAGAATCGAAAATACCTCTTTAATCTCCTTAATTTGCTGATCAAGACCACCAATCATGTCATAGGTAGAATCAGGGACCTTTTCAACTTTCATAAGATTCACCAACGGATCTACTTTGCTTGGCAAAACTAAATGAAGAACATAGCTGTCATTTCGAAGAGCAACCCTAGTTGATGGTGTGATTTTTGTGATATCAATGCTTTTGTCTATATCTACAACATATTTCCCTTCAGGATGCACCTGTAAAGGAAAAGGGAGAAGTTGAAAAAGACATGTAGTGTGCATCCTTGTAGCTTCACATTATGCATCACACCTTAAAGCCTTTATCCTTTGTACTATAAATTCCAGATGCAGAGAAATTGCATTGCAAGCTTAAGGTGATGCACTAGCCTCAGCATGAAGCAAAACATCATGCTGCAGTTATTGAAGAAGCAAGAAGCCAAATCTGAAACTAAACTGCCCCTTTCCAAAGGATGTTATAAATTTTGAGGACTAAATCTGCAGGTTATATTTTTGTGTTTAAAACAACCTTATATGTTTTATGCATAAAATAAATGGTTTTATTTATGTGAGACCATATCGTGCAAAGTTAATTTAAAAACTATAGGCTATTACTCACAAAAGGTTTAAACAGAAGTTGTCACCCACATATCTTCTTTCGCACTAAACAATAAATCTACCGAGAATTTGTGGAAAAATGTAGCACAAAAAACCTTATGAATGACACTTCCTACAAAACAAATCTTCACCTGGATATCCATTTTGAAACTAATACTTATCTAGGTACGGATAATATGCACCTAAATATGGATCTAACAGGTGATTAAATCTTCAGGAAATGCATACATCTAACATCACTTTCATAAATCACTCTAGGCACGGATGATATGCACCTAAATTTCTATCTAGACACGGATGATATGCACCTAAATATGGATCTAACTGGTGATTAAATCTTCAGGAAAAGCATACGTCTACACCACTTTCATAAATCACTCACCTTCACTAGAACCTTATTTTTCCCCATGACTTTGACCACTTCTCCAACATACGATCCAGGTTCCTGAAGCAGCTGAAGTTCTTCACGAAGCAACCTCACTACACAATTTCAACCAACATGAATTATTCTGGAAAAAGTGAGTTAAGTGTTAAAGCATCATCAGATTATAATCCTATATCATTCACGATCGAACAAAATTCATAAATGATATACTAAAACGTAACGAAATCTATCACAAAACTTCGTTGTCTGGTAGTTTTAGTTAACCATTCCATATATGTACTTCGCCAACAACAAATTATCCATGTTTCGCTTTAAACGCATAAATTCGGAGTCAAAGGAAATGATAAATTTCTCAATTCACATGACCGACATTGAAAACAATCGAAGCAAAATGTTCCAGGCTCCAAGAAAGCAAAATTCACCACACGAAATAAAAACAAAAGTTAAAATCATCGTTGACGTTGATCTGACAAGGCAAAGCCGATCAAGACAACTCTCCGTCTAAAATTTCTAAAACTGCCACCGATTATAATTCCAAACCCTAGAAATTGACAGTGGATACCTCTAGAGTTGAGCTCGTTTCGCTGAGCTTCAAGACGATTGAGATTGTGAGTCTTGAGGCGAAGCTGAAGCTGAAGGTCCTGAATGTGTTGAAGATAATACTGCCTAAGACCTTCGCCTTGCTTCGCCGCCGGCTTGGCGGAGCACGTCTCTGCTGGTCCAGCCTCCGGTAGCTTGGTTTCCAACTCCATCGTCGCCATTGGAAACTATCGGTGCTTCCTGAACCGTTTTGTTTCTCTTTCGGTGAATCAAATCGGTGAGATTGGAGAGAGCCAGATAGGTACTTATAAGCGGGCCACAACTGGACCACATTTCGGTTCTCTTAGTTTGCTAAAAGATTAGCCCATCTCATGGGCCTGCTAAAAGCCCATATACCATGAGGCTTAGCCCATGTAATACTTGGAGCGAGTAACATTTTTCCTATTTCTTTTTTCTTTTTTTCTTTTCTAATTTCGTTTTAAAATAATAATTTATTTTCAATTTACCGAAAAAAAATTAAACATAATCAAGCCAGCATGAGCTGAACTGGTTAAGCCACATATTTTTAATTAAAATATAGTCAGTTCCTATCCAATCAATTCCACCCTACATGCTCTTGTTCTAAAAAGAAATGAGTCAATATTAAATTAATTTATAAAAAGAAAAAAATTTATTAAAAAATACTTTTAATTAAATTTGGAATATGTGTTGACTTACCTGGGAAATATCATAAACATGCATGACAGTTAAACAGCACAACCACCTCGTACCAAAGAAGACTTAATAATGCTTTGACCTTGGTTTATTAAAAATTTTCATTGGCTTTATTTTAGCCTTAATCATTAATTTAGTAAATAAATGTATGGAGCAATTAATTATGCTACGCGGCTGCATGCTTATTTATTCCAGAGTTATACAAATGTTTGTTTCTCTCATTTCTAATTAATTAAAACAAATACGACAGCTATAAAAAAGGAAACCGGAGAAATCAGAGTAGATTCTGACTGTTTAAAAAAGGAAGAAAACTACAAATAAATAGTGACGACACGTGTAGAACCATTGGTTCGAAGAATACAAGAAAATAACTTATAAAAATTGGAACTAATAATGTAAAATACAATTAATTGAAACACTTAACATTAATTATCCCTTAAATATATATAGATTCATGTCTTTAAAACATACAAAATGCAAGTTAGATTATTAGTTTACCATTCTACGAGCTTAGTACCTAAATTTTCAAATATTTTATTTTAATTTCTCAACCTTCAAATTTCTGATGTGTTTTAATATTTATTCAAGCGATATACAATATGTATTAACCTTGGGAGTAACTAGTGAGCATACGATGTAACACTCTAAGTCGTGCCAAAATTGCTTTCAATGCATTGTTCATTTCACAGCACAACGACATTCTCTTCATCTAAATCTACTTTGATTCTAACAATGTACACTTTGACTAATTTCACAAATTAACCACTTGATTCCCTACAATGCATTTAGTTACTAAAAGACAGTTAGATAGGCAACTTTCACGAAGTTAGTTTGAACCCATTACCTTGAGTTCTTTTTACTTTTTCACCAGTTTGATAATTAGTTTGATAATCAGTATATCACTAAACTAGCTTTTAGTGCGGTTGTAAAAGTTTCTACTCAATGCCTTTAAGAAATGCATTAACCCAAAAACAGCTAGAAAAACGGTAAAATCCCCCAATTTGGAAGAAAAAGAGAGAGAGTGAGAAAAGGCATATCATATCTCCACTTTGGTTGATATATAATAATACAAAACACAAAACCCTAAAATAGACATAAGATATGCTCTTCTTATCTTGATATATATGGTCCTCATACTCAAGATTCTCTCTCTCTCTCTCTCTCTCTCTCTCTCTCGGGCAATGGGGCCAATTTTCCTTAGTTGAAAACTTGAGTATATTGCCCCACACACTGTCTTCCACCTGTTCGATGAAATGTCAAAGCTGAATCCAACGTGGTATTGCCAACATAGAAAGCCATGCGTGGTTGGAGTTGGGCGCCACAGAAAACCCATCACACCCTCGTGCCTGCCCTGTGCCCAAAACGAGCCCACTCAAACCCTAAAACTTCTCCCTTCTCCTCTTCCCTATATAAGCCACACCAAAACCCATCACACCCTCACACAAATTTGCCTAAAATCTCCTCTTTCTTTTGCCTCTCCAAGCTTTAGCTAACTTTCTTCCTTTTTTTTTTCCAAACATCACCATGGTTCCCATTTCTAAACCTAATGCTTCCTCGTTGAAGAACACAGAAGCGGGTCGAGATGATTATTATGGTTATATTGCTCCCGCCGCATCAATCATTGAAGGAGACGGGGACGACGACGATGACGGTGGATACGACTTTGCTCCGGCTGCGTGAGTTGATTGGAAGATTTGAGAGTAACAAGGAGTGGTGGCGGCCGCAACGGAGGAGGGGCGTGGTGTTGGATTTCTTGTTGAAAGATATTGTTGGGATGAATGGGAGCGAATGAATGTAATTTAGGTGCATTGGCACTCTTATGGTTAAATCCCCGCCTTGCTTGAATTGTAATACTAGACAAACGTTGTGGTAAAAAGTTTTCATTTAAATCTCAATTTGGCTTCTAACTTACCTATTTTAAAATATCTATTTTGATTCTTGAATGTTCAAAAAGCAGATTTGATCATTTTTATTAATCTATCATCGATGGAGGTATATGCCAATTACCGCTGAGTTATGCTCGCTTTGATATCTATCATCGATAAATTGATGATGTAGCTTCGAATAAATGTATTAATACGACTTGAAGCAATATAAATTTGCTTTTTTCTGTTTTCTAGAATAAAAGCTACATAAGTATTGGTTGGGGGTAAATATTTAAGTATAAATGCAACATATATTGATCTCTAATAACATCAACAACTAAAATAGTTTTTTTTTTTTAAGATAGAGATTAACATTTTAAAATTTTATGAACTAGAAACGGTACCAAAATAAAATTCGGTAAAGAAAAAAAAATTAAACTAAAAATTTCTTTTTTCTATTTTTTAAATAAGAAATCAGCGAAAATGTATTTAGCCTATTTTTTTTTCAGTTCTTTAAAGTTTAACTTTTAATAATAAAATCATTTATATAATGGCTGAGCTATAGATATTATTTATCCTAGGTTGAATTTTCATCCGCCATACTAAAAAAAAAATATTTATAATGAATTTAAATTAAATTATCATGAGTATCCTAAATTATATAAAATATTAAAAAGTATTTCAAGAAATGTTATAAAATAATGTCCAATTATTGTGTGTGGACCAAATTGGAATTCATCTGTCGGATTTTGATGTTATCTTTGGAAATTGAAAGCGACTCTTTCTTGTTTGTTGGGTCTACATTCAAGCATGTGCGTTTTAGCTTCATTGATATATACTAATTTTTACATTTAGGCTCGTTTAATTTGTTAACCTTTTTTTTTCTTTCTTATTTCTTATTTTTCGTTTTTAATTTTAAAAAAAACACAGACACAGATGTTTGATTACTGTTTTCTATTTTTTATTTCTCATTTTTTAAAAAATTTTTGCAAACAACAAAATTAGATTTCTTGTTTTTTTGTTTCCATTTTTTTTCAAAACATAAATAAAAACTTTATTTTATCATTGAAATGATAAAAGTTGAATATTCAAAATTTTAGAAAATAAGAAACAATAAATAGATATGAAACATGCTAAAAAGTGAGTATAGCTCGACGGTAATTGACATATATCTTTCTTTTTTTAATAAAAAATGCAGTTCTACTTTTATTTGTTAAAGAAGAATAAATAAATAAATAATAAAAATATAAATATTATCAAACGAGTTCTAAAATATATATTAGTTCTCAGTTAATTTATACATCTCTTCGTTCTTCTCTTTTCTTAATTAAAAGTGTTTATATACATCTCTTTGCTCTAAGCTTGCTTTTTGAAAAATTTTAGCCACACTGATGGAAACAAAACTTTTATGTAAAATGATTGGATTAGAACAAAATATGTTAAAATATAAGAAACAAAACAAAATAAATATTAAAACTCGTGAACAAAATACGATTTAAACTCTAAATATATTTGATATACCGAAAATATTTTTATTTGAATTTAACTTGCAGTAAACAATAAAAATTATTTTATTTTATTCTTTTTTTTAGTACAAAATGTGTGAGTGGAGGATCGAACTCACAATCTCGTAGTTAGAGATATATGTCAACTATCGCTCAACTATGCTCATTTTGACAAATTAAACCATCAAAATTATTAAATATTCTTATTATAACATTCTCAATTATAAAACAAGATTTCCTCTTCGAAATTATAAGAGAGATGAAAAAAGGGGAATATATATATGTATATGATATTTGGCTGACGCAATCGTTTTTCTTTTTTAAGTACAAATACTAGTCGTGTATGGTGTTAGAATGTCAACATATTTTGTAGATTTCCAAACAAATAAAGGGGAAAAAAGAGAACTCATGGGTCGAGGAATATCATTTGAAGAAACAATTAACGGGAACCACAAATTCATCTTCACATGCAACTTGTCAATTTGGTTAGTTTATCAATATGATTTCATTTTCCCACTTCTAACTATATATACATCATGCATGTGTATTTATTGATACAATTTTTGGTAATCTAATCATTAAAAGAAGTGAATATTATACTGAGATAAATGGTTCTTCACATGCATTCACAAAAACAATTCAAGAATATTTTGCTTCAAGAGAAACCAATTTCTTGTTGGGTACTTGATTTTAGTTTTGAGATGTCGGAGACAGTTAGAATTTGGAATGATCGACTATTATGTATAAATAAATATAGTATCCTTTTATTGGTGCGAGGTATTTAAATTGAAACTAAAAGTAAAATTACGTGGGCTAGAGTAAAAATATACAAATAGATATATCATAAACTCTTTGTTTAAACACAAGAAACGTATTAATAATTAAGAGAAAAATGGTACAGAGATGATCCCATTGTTTCGAAATAAAATGATTTCTATAAAACAAAACACACAATAATTAAGGACTAAAAGTAGAAGATAATTAAAAGCACATAAATAAAACATGGATTGAAAATGAATTAATGATTAATGAAAGAAGAGAATTAATGGATTGAAAATGAATTAATGATTAATGAAATGAGAGAATTAAAGCATAATGACAAAGATATAGGATCTTGTGGTATCACCTACCATTAGGTTTTGTGTTTGAATCCTACATTTGTCACTGTGTTGCTCTCTCAGAACAAGAGGACGTTATGAGTTTGAATTCATGTATGTCATGTCTTCTTTGTTTATGCTGAATTCTACCCGATACTACTTGATTCATCGATCTCATGCCAATACCACTCATGTGAGGGATGAATAACAACTGTTTTTTTTTTTTTTTTGACAATTTGTCATATTTTAATAGAGATATAATCATCCATGAAAGTGTGGTTGTATCTTTTAATTAATATTGTATTATTTTATTTGGGCATAAGTGGAATAAAGTGGCATTTATTTATTATATACTTGTGTTTTGGTTTTGAAGGGCAAAACACAACACAATATAACTGAGAAGCCAAACTCGAAACAGTGATCGCACAATTTGGCAAAAAGCAAAAGCATATCGCATACACATATATATCATTTGTAATATATTATTCCTCTTGCTTTTCATTTTGTTGATCCTCTTCAAAAAATGCTACGAATCTGTGTTTCTGTCTAGGCCACTTGGACAACAAACGTTGGCAATGTGTTAAACACACATTATTGGCAACGTCTGATGACTTGTCTGTCTCAAAAGTGCCACGTTCACATGGGAGTTGGCGTTGGACACTCTTTACTACACATTATCCACAATCTCCCTCGTGTATCCCTTGTGCCTCCAAAAGCGCTAATTACCATTGAAATTTCCCTTAGCTTTTCTCCCTCTATATAAACCTTTCATCCTCTCCCATTTCTACACTAAATCATCAATTCAAACCCACAAACATCTCTATCTCTCGATCGATACGGTTCCCATTTCCAAGTTCATTGCATCCACGACGACGATGAAGAACCATGCACGTAGTGGAGATCATCTCGAGCAGTACAAATATTTCGTGGCTTCAACACCAGTCGTCGAACGGGAAGGAGACGACGATGACGATGATGCAGATTATGACTACGCTCCGGCTGCATGAGTCTATCTACGAAGAGTACTTTACAAATATCGACACGATATCACATTAGAGGGATATTTTTAAAGAGCTTACCTATATAGTTTTCTAATAGGAAATACGGGGTATCTAGAAAAGAAGTAGAGAGTTTCCAGTGTATATGTGCATATATATATATATATATGTGTGTGTGGTTTTGTACACATATATTATATATATGTTGAGAATACAACCAAAATCTCACATTGATTAGAAAAAATAATTTATGACATATAAGTAAGGGACAACATCTTTATTGGCATGAGATCTTTTGGATGATTCCAAATGGAAAACACGAGGGCTTATATGTTCAAAGTGGACTCATTGTAACGTGTAAACAATATCATATCATTATAGAAATGGTAGAGAGTCCATTGTTCGGTTGGTTCCTCCGAAACAATATGTGTTTAATTAAATTGGCCCTTCACGTTCTCAAGAGTCTCATCCTTGTTCATTTGCTTTGCATAATAATTAGCTTTCAAAGGTATTTTGAAGGAGAGAATATGTGTGTTTTTCTTTTATGCTTTAATTTTGTCCCTAAGTTTAATATGCATGAATATTCTTTGGTCTTTTATATGTATGAAATTTTTGAGGAAAATTTTATAAGCCTATCTAAAAAAGACCTTAAGAATATTATATCAAGACGTTTCGTTTATACCAATTATGAACAAATCAGGCACATTATGGTGTTGTATATTATTTTGTATTTTTTGTTTAGATTCTTTTTGGAAAGTTTTTATAGGAAAATTTTTTGAGAAAGCTTATATTTTCTTTATGGTTTAAACCTCATTTTAGTACCAAAAATTTTAAACTTATTTCACTTTGGTCTTGAAACTCTCAATATCTCTATTTTGAATTATTTTATACAATCATTGGGTTAAAAATAAACATTTTAAAAGTTTAAATATCAAAATGATTATTTTCCTAAAGTTTAGAGACCAAAATAGTTATATTTTTTTAAAGTTCAAGTACTTAGAATAATATATTTTGAAAATTTATAGATCAAAATGTAAAATTTTTTCTTTATACTTCTAAAAAAGTGGGAAAAAATGAAAAAAGAACAAGGGTTGAATCACCATTATAGTACAAAGATGAAACATAGAAAAAAATTTAGTGCACTACCTCCAAATTAAAAAATATGAAATTGTTAATATTGAATTAAAAAAAAGAAAAAAAAAATCTTTATTGAATCTCCACCCACACGTATTAAACTGAAAAAAATAAAATCAAAGGATTGAGATATTACATGACATAAATGACAAAAAAACTCCCCTAAGTTTTGGGCTTTGCTCCCTTTGAATATTTCTCTTTAACTAGATTTAATATTGAGTCAATTCCCAATTTTATTTTTTAATAATAAAATTATTATATACATCTAACCATTTATATATTTTCAAGTTTGACCAAGTAATTAAAAAGTTTGAAGTAATACAATAACATCACCATTATTGTTGGTTATATATTAAGCAATGGACTAATTTGATACAAAGATTTTCTCTTATCCTTTCACCATTGGTTTATTGTGAGGGATGGGAGACTGAAAGTGATTGATTTTTTTCTGGAGGACTAATAAGTTACGTTGGATTTGTAGGGAATGATCATGAGTATATAAGAGAGGACAATTATCTCCATTGATATGATGCCTTTTGGGTGGAACAAAAAGCAAATCCGTGAGGGTTATGCTCAAAGCAGACAATATCATACCAGCTTTTAATGTTTTGAGTTTATTTGTGGTTTTTTAAAAAATTAAATGTTATGTAGTTTGTAAAATATTTTTTAAAAGTGGGGTAGTTTTATAAATAGCATTAAACAATATAATAAATTAATTAAAGTTAAATATTATTGTTTGTATTTTCGAATACGATGGAAAGTCTAAATATTAGAGTCAATTGATACCTCTATTTTTGGGAAAAAAAAGAAGAAGATTATTGTATATATTTTTTAAAGTTTGACTAAGTTACTTTTATTCACAAATTAAGGATTTAATTATTATTTTTTTATTATTTCAACAACACGTAGAAGTGAGGATTCGAACTTCATATTAAAACGTTAAGAATATATATTCTAACCAATTAAGTTTTGCTTCGAACCACTTTAATTGTCATTAGAGTAATGCCTAATTATCAATATTTTTATGAAGTAGTGTATTTTTTTTTTTTTGTGAAACAGGCTATATATATATATATTTATTTATTTATTTATTTATGGAATAAAATGAGATAATTAATTTTGTTTTGTTTTTCGTTTTTTTGTTTTTGTTTTTTTGGGAGGATATTTATAATAAGATAGGTTAGTTGTGTACTATGTGGTAGAAATCTTTTTTCCTCTCATCTTTTATGGCTATGTTTTGTCGTGACTTGCAGCCATAATGAGAGAGAAAATATCTCAAGTTAATAAAATTGTTGCATCATTTAAAATTAACAGCACAGCACAAGTAAAAATTCATTATCATTCGTTCATTGTTTGGAGGGAAAAAGGAAAAACACAGTTTGAAATCTATAGTAATTTTTTGATGTAGTTTTTTTCTAAAATAAGATGGAGTTTGAACAAACGATCTTTTGACTGGAGTTATATCTTTCAACTAATTGTGTTAGGTTCATATTGTCAAATTTCTTATCGTACTTGAACAATGAGATGTGATTTATACTACTAAATTAAATAAAGTCAAATATTAATTTTTAATATATTTGTGTCAATATAAGTATATTCAATGAGTTAAGCCATTTATCTCCAATAAAAGAACTGTGAATTTGAATCCTCACCTTTAGTGTTAATATTTCTGTAATATTGAATTACCATTATGCAATATTCGAAGTAAGTTCAAACATAGCTGAAAGAGATAAAAAAAATATTTATTGTCATCCTCAAATCCAGTACTACGAGAGTACCATACTTCATTTGTTCACGCTATGATTTTATCTTTATTAATAATTTTTTAATGTTACTGGATTCCATATCAATTTTAACATGATTCTAATATAGTCATGATGGTAGTATAGTAGATTAGGAAATGAAAGAATTATCCATATATACTCGTATGGTATAAAAAATTTTCGCAATTGGTCGATGGTTTGATGGTTGGATCCTCCACCATTGCAACACAATTGAGCTTAAAAAAAATTACAAAAGGTAAACTTCAAATACGACGTCGTTACTTGATGGGCTTTTGATGGGCCTTTCTCTGTCACCTCCGTACTTTGTCTTCAATAAAATCAGAACCCCATTGATTTCTCCTGTGCGAGAAATTCACAGCTGCGTCCTCCATTTCTCTGTTTCTCTGTTTCTGCGTTCATTAAAGTCTTCTCTCTCTCCTCTGTGCCCATTTGTGATTGCTTTCTCTCTCTGCAGCGCGCTTTCGATTTCTCTCACTCGGTGTATTAACATCATTGGGGCGTGGGCATCTGTACGATTCAATTTTTCCCTCCATTGTTGCTCCAGATCCGCGCTCCTCCATTCGTCGGTGATGCGAACCCTCTCTTGGCTTCTCCCCATTTACCCTCTACTTCTAATTTGATTCTCGATTTGTAATCCACCGAGAATTCCGTTTGTTTGTTCCCATTTTTCTGCTATTCTGCGCGATCTTGAATCCGTATGCCACCTTGAATTCTTTTGTTACTCAGCTTGCGATTTCTGGGGGTGTTGATATGTCTTCCACTCGATTGGATACGAAGCAGTACTTCACAACCAGTGGTCTTGTGGTTGGTTATGCTCTTTGTTCCAGCTTGCTTGCTGTTATAAACAAGTTTGCCATTACCAAATTTAACTACCCTGGCCTTTTGACGGCGCTGCAGTATCTAACCTCTGCTGTTGGAGTTTGGGTTTTGGGGAAACTTGGGTTTTTGCATCATGACCCCTTCATATACGCAACTGCTAAGAAGTTTTTACCTGCGGCATTTGTGTTCTATCTCGCAATCTTTACCAACACGAATCTTCTTCGTCATGCTAATGTGGATACTTTCATAGTATTCAGATCCTGCACCCCCCTTTTAGTTGCGATAGCAGATACCATGTTTAGAAAACAACCGTGTCCATCTAAGCTCACATTTGTATCGCTGCTGATCATTTTGGGTGGAGCAGTTGGGTATGTGGCTACTGATTCTGCATTTACTTTGACTGCTTATTCATGGGCATTTGCTTATTTGGTGACAATTACGACCGAGATGGTTTACATCAAACACATGGTTACAAATCTTGGGCTGAACACATGGGGTTTTGTCCTGTACAATAATCTAATTTCCTTGATCTTGGCCCCTGTCTTCTGGTTCATTACTGGAGAGTATGCTGATGTTTTCGCTGCTTTAGGCTCAGCTGCAGGAGATTGGTTTCAGTATGATGCATTTTTTGCTGTATCCTTATCGTGTGTATTTGGTTTTCTCATAAGCTTCTTTGGTTTTGCGGCAAGAAAGGCAATTTCTGCTACTGCCTTTACAGTAACTGGTGTAGTTAACAAGTTTCTAACAGTTGCTATCAATGTGGTGATTTGGGATAAGCATGCGAATCCATTTGGTTTGGTCTGCCTCCTTTTCACAATTTCAGGGGGTGTTCTCTATCAGCAGTCAGTTACTGGAGTTGGCGTTGCCTCATCGACACCGCTCAAGACTACTGGAGACGAGAAGCTTCTTGAGGAAAATGAAGGCAAGGCTTCTGGTAAACTTTCCTCCGTATGAGGTTTTTCTTGGAACTTAGATTTTTTGGCTACTGATGAAAAAAACTGGGATATTTGAATTCTATATGAACTTAGGTATGGGATCTTCTAAGTTCTACATAAGAATTTCGACGCTGTAGTTCATTCTGGAATATTACTATTGATATGTATTTTCATGGGCTGTCATTCATACATGCTTTCAAGGATCTTATATGTATACCAATTTTCTACGAATTCCTAATTTGCAATAGAAGGGTTTTATGCATTTAGCTCAGGGATTCATTTGACATAAACATAGTAGCAGCAAATTGTGATCAGACTTTCAACATCTCTAGCTGATATTTGAAAACTGAGAAACTCTATGGTATGGACTAGATACTATCTAATGTACCTTCCCTCACTGAAAGTAATCTTTTTTTACTCATTTTTCACTCAACAGAAGCACCACACTCTCGTGAGTTGTGAGATTTCACGGATGTTGCAAGTAGAATTTCGTTTTTCTTGCCAAAATATCACCCTTCATAGGACCATGTTGTTAGCAGTAATGGCTCTTTGAGCTGTTGGATGCAGAGTTTATTGGACCTCTTGTTTACTTTCAATTTCAACAGCTGATCGTCAAACTTATCCATCATCTTACTGCTTGGTTAAGGATTAATTTATTCATGTCTCTCTGTCTCTATCTCTCTCTCTCTCGTGGTGGGAGGGGGGTGGGTCATCTTTATTTAACTCTATGTCGGTTTGGTACTTTAGTTCTCCTACTCCATAATCTCCTCAAACAATCCACTGATATTTGAGTCAAACTGAACAGCAATCTTTAACTTCTGCTGTGTTGATATTTATGAATGATCACCAGAAATCTCCACAAAAACTACATCCATTCTTAAATGGTGAAACCTATTGCGGTCTCGTACAACTATTTCTCTTTTGTAAAACCTTTGAGATGATCTTAAGAGCAGAGTGGCAATCAGTGCAAACACAAAGATTTTTCACAATTCGAGTGAAGGCTAAGAGCAGTCACCTTTTCTTCTTTATCCATCTCAAACAGAACTTCTGATTTCTCAGGAATGTAGCCAGCTTCCTTCAACTTACTAATCATGTCGTCTAGCATCGTATAGATTTCCCTTGACTGAGGATGAGAAGAATCACCCTTCCCAAATTGATGGACCACTCCACTAACCTCAATCAAGCTGCAACCAGGGGGCTTATTCAACTTTCTTTCTGCCATGAGTGGTCTGATCCTTTTAGATCCTTCCCACTTGATAGAACTTATGTTCCAGCATCTTGGGATCAAGTTTCAGAAGCTGTTGGGCTGATTTCTCAGTTCTGCAGGCACCAAGAAGCCCTCCCAGAGTAAAGTGATCTGCTTCCATTGGCATATTCTGAATCAACTCCTCTGCTTCAGCTATGCGACCAACTCTGCCTAATAAATCAACCATACAGCCATAGTGTTCAATTCCAGGTTGAATTCCATACACATTAGACATTACTTTGAAATACTTCACTCTTCTGCATCTCGTTGAAATACTTCAAGGCCTTCTCTCCTAGTCCAGACATCGCAAAGCCAAGAATCAAAGCCGTCCAAGTCATAACATCTTTCTCTGGAAGTTCTTGGAAAACCTTAGTCGCACTCTCTATGCTCCCACATTTAGCATACATGTCAACAAGCGCCGTACCTAATGCAAGATCCATCTCGATTTTCTCTTTTCTCCCAAATAGCTGCAAGCAACCAGCAAACTAACCCTTATCGCCTTTGATCCCCTTCAGTTGCATTTCACAGAAGAGCAGGAAAGCCTCTTCATAGTCACTATCCTCTACATGTCCATTAACTATGATGCCCCAACAGAACAAGTTCTTCTGAGGCATTCTGATTCTGTCAAACAAATCTCTAGCAATCAAATTCGAGCCGTCATCAACACATTATGGTACCCAGAACCATTGTCATCAATGCACTCGTTCACCCGTTTCAGCGTCTTCAAATCCCTTGCGATGGCACAAGCAGTCAAAACGCTAATCAAGGCAACGCCATTGGCTTTCACATTCTCAACCTCGTTCAATGGCCTTCTCTGGTCCATCCCACTGCTCAGAAGCACCAACCATGGTTGCCCAAGAAACCAGACTTGTATCCAGCATTTTGTCGAACACCTTCTGTGCCTCAACCAAACACCCAGAATTCGAGTACAGAATACATCAAAGTGTTCTGAATATAAGAATCTGAAGTGAACCCGAGGTTTGTGGAGTGGCCTTGAACAAAGAAGACGACCGTCAACGACCGACCATTTGTTGATAGAAAAGAAGCGAGAATAATGGAATTGCAAGTGAAGAGACATGGGTGCGGTTGAAATGAGCTGCTTCTGCTAGTTTTGGCGGTGGCCGTGGCACAGGCACCGCCATTACCGCGCATTTCCCTTGCATTATATATAACTAAAAGTTCTATGTAAGTTGTTTATTTTTGGTTTAAATTCAATAATTTTGTATTTACGATTTTAAAAATTTTGAAGTGTTAATTACATTGCATTGACACTTTTTTATGTTACATTGCAGATGGCATTAGGAGATACAGACCCAAACCGATGTTTTAGACCATCAACTTTCAACTATTGGGATTGGGAATGGGAATTAATTAGTTCTTAAATTTTGCCTTCTAAACTACTTTGATCACTGTGGTATTGTTTCGTTAATCAAGTATTTATTCATGCAACCCTTCATTTATTTGCAACACGACATCGTAAAATCGAGTATAATTCGCCGGTAATTGATATATATCTACAATTAAGAAATTGTGAGTTCAATCTCCCATCTCTACATGTTGTACTATAAAAGAAATAATAATTTACAAAAATTCATGATAAGGATTATTTTTTTTTTAAATTTAGGAATCATAACAAAAATGTTTAATTAAATATTCCCTGTTGAAAAAATGAATTAAATATTGTAAAATAACATCTTACGCTCTACACTTTTGTATTTATAAATGTATATAATAAGTTCAAACTTTCGATATGTTTTTAAATAAATGCTCAAATTTAAAAAAGGGTTTAATAACTTCATAAACTTTTAATTCTATGTCTTGAATTTTTAGACCCATTAAACACTTTGTTCAATAATCTACCGTACCCAAAATTGAAAGTTAAAATTTTATTAGATATTTCTAAAAATTTAGAGACTTATTCGACACAAAATTAAAAGTTTAGATATATATTTGACACAAAATATTTAAAGACTTGCACAACTCTAAAAGTTTAAGGACCAAATTTGTAATTTGATTAGAAATCAATTATAGATAGAGTAAACTAATAACATGCGTCCATATTTATTACAATTATCTCGATTAGTATCTCAACTAATTATCAATCATGTAAATGGAAGAATATTAAAAAATACTGCTTCTATTAGAAGTGAACTGAACTAAATTATTTAATTTTTTTACTACACTACCGTGAGTGAAATTTTGAATTTCAAAAGGAGAAGTAGATGATTTAATGAAGAAGAAACATTCTATCCATCTATTTTAAGCCACAATTTTTATAGGGTTTGAAATTTTAAGTGGTAAAAAAAAAATTTGTTAGAAAAACTGATATTCTTAAAATATAAAATAAAATGAAAATGGACTTGGCTTCAACTTTCATCTCAAGTGGGCAGAATCTTTTCCTTTCCCCTTCCTCGATCTGTCGTTAGGTTTGGTTATTACTTCCGACATGTCGATTTACGCTTCCCACAAAGTAGCGATAGCGAAAGCGAGGTTGATCTTGATGTGAGTGAAGGGAGCATCAAAGAGTGTTCGTCGCGACATTCTGCATTCTCCTCTGAGGTTGGATTTGAGCGGTAGCCATGACTGTAGACGATGATAGTTCCATATACGTCGGCGGACTTCCTTACGACGCAACCGAAGATAGTTTGCGCCGAATCTTCGATTTGTACGGCGCCGTCGTCGCTGTTAAGGTCAATTCCTCTCTCACCAACCGGAATGGCTCCTGCCCTTTCCGTGTTTTGATCTTTTGTATGACAAATATTCTTTTACGGCTCTTGATACTGGCGCTGCTTCGTTGTACTAAATAATTATGCATGTTTTTAAGGCTTTTGAGGCAATTTTTGATTGTTTGGATATAAGTTAGTCAGTTTAGGCGTGGGTTTTAGGTATCTTGGAGAATAAAGCACGCCCTCTAAACATGTATTAATGGTCTGTACTTGGTTTTAATTACTGAAAATCGTGGAGGAAGCTGAATTAGCGGTAAAGATTCTTTTCTATTGTGGAGAACTTGGGTTGTTAGTTTACTTTTGAGTTACTTAAATGTTTCCATGACATGGGTTTGCCAAAATGCTCCAATTACGCATGTCTAACTTTTTATGTGTTTAAATGCCTCTGTTGCGTGTGGCTTTATCCCAATGTGATTGTAGTTTTAACACTTTGATTTTTGGTAATCAGATTATCAATGATCGTAGTACGAGGGGAAAATGTTATGGCTTTGTTACCTTTACGAACCCTCGATCTGCTGTTGATGCCATCAAAGACATGGATGGAAGGGTATGTTCATTTATCGCTGGAATACAAGTATTTAAGTGTTGGTTATCTATAGATATGCCATTATGCTTTTGTGTCTTGACTTCTGACATTATAAGGCTTTCAATTAGACTATTGATGGGCGGGTTGTCAGAGTTAATGGAGTGAAGAGTAGAGGCGGTGGAAGGTTTGGTAGAGAAGGTATCCGGTACAATGAGAGGGATGCTGACTGGGAGAAAGATAGAGATCGGGGGAGGGATTATGATCATGACAGATATCACCACAGAGGTAGAAATAATGACTGGTCTAGAGAGCGTGATCGGTCTCGAGAACATGATTTGGACAAGGAAAGAGGATATGAGCATCCACAAGATCGTGATCTACCCAAGGATAAATTGTTGGATAGGGATCCAGAGTTGGAAAAAACTTCGAAGGATAACGAGCTGGTGCTTGACTTGAACCGTGATCAGGATTGGGAAAAAGATCACGATGCAGATTGGAGTGGGGGCAGAAACATTGATAACACTGATGATTATGATAAAAGCCTTGACAATGATAGAGATCTACCATCGAGGAGAGATAGCGGGTGAGTTTGTCTTAGAACTTATTGAGGTCAATGTTAAAGTTCTTTTAGTAAAAATTTTCTGTTTGTCTGGGTTTGGTTAGGTTAGGTTAGACTGGTTAGACATATAACTAATTCACATATCTGTTGCATGATATTGAAAATTTAAGATTATTGACAATTTAGTGAGTTGGAATGCCTGCTTGGTCCTGAAGCCGATGTTTTTGAATGACTGATAGTATTGATTGAACTGGGCAGTTAGTGATTCCAGAAAATTTTCAGAGATCTTTAAAGTATTTCATTCTTTCATTTGGGGTAGTCTCCTTTCCCTCATATGCGTTCATTGAGTTTTGTTTTGAGGGAACTGGACAAATGGGAAAGAGGATCCTAATTCAAACTGCCCAACTAGATGGCAGTACATGTATGTGAAAAGTAATGAATCTGCTGTTTCAACGTTGAGACCAGATAGATGAATTAAATAATACAATTTCCGCGGGGATCCTTTAGAGAATATTACCATGGAATCGGTAATTCTTAACTTGTTTAGTGCTTATATACTCTTGTGTAATTGAAAAACCATGTATAGTTTTTCTTTTCTCTAAATGTAAATATCATTTCCCCATTTCTTTCATGGTTTTACGATGTAATCTTTTATTGCGAAGGTTGAGGAACAAATGCACATGTTCTTCTTCTTGTTGAATTTCAGGATCATTTAGTAGCTTCCGGATCTTGCAATGTCTTCCTTCCTGTTTCATAGAAAGGATGAAAAAAGAGGAATAACTTTTTGGCCATGATTATATGACTGATATTTTGGTTTATCTTTCCAGTCTCACAATTGAAGGTCGAACTGGCCGGGAAGTTTCATCAGATTCTAGTGACGATTACATCCATGAAGTATGGTTACCACTTTCAATTTTTAAATTTCCTCCATTAGAAGGTTGCAACTAATTAATAAGGCATCTAATGCATCCGTTGCTCCTATTGTTTGCATTGTCAGTTAAAGGAACAACTGGAGATATCAACCGAAAGATTTGAAGAACTTAGAAAGGAGGTCTCTTTCTACTTATAGTTAACCAATGAATGCCTTGATTAGTTTTTTTCCTCGCAGAAGAGAGTGATGGTCAATGGAATTGGTTTGAAAAAATTTTCAGGAAAATTCCAATGTGAATTGGCATAATTTAACACACTCGATTTGAAATGTGCTTCAGAATATACATATAGTTCCACAAACAAATATGTGACCATGCTCAAAGAAACTTAGCCAACGTATCAAATTCAGCTCCAGTTGATAAACCTGTTTAAATCTAATTATAATTTTCTGCAATGTTCTGTTACTTCTTTTGCATTATTCTTTTATATACTGTGATTTCACTTTTTTGTAGAGCCTTATAGGTTTTCCTTTTCAGATTTCTCGAATAGAGGAGAGGACAGGAGAAAAAGGAAAACTTGTGGTTGAGTTACAAAAGAAAGCCAAGGTATTAGATAATTTTATAAATAGTAACCATGATACTTTTGTTGTGTTCTCATTGTCCTTAGAGCTTTATAAATAATATCTAGGTCATGTCCAACTGACTAATGCTGGATGCAGAAACTCGAGGATGCATTGATCAGTGCAAAGAAGCGCACTTCATTCCGTCAGATGCAGCTCACAAAGGTAATTGACGGTTTAACATTTTTCATTGTTTAGAAACTATAATGGAAATGACCATTCTGGTTTTGTTATGCGAATAACTGCAGCTCCATAAAAGCTTTCTGTTAGTGAAGGATTATTCTGAGAGACTTAAAAGCAGCGAACAAGAACTTCAGGTTTGTGCTTCATCATTCTAACACCTCGATCTTCTTCTTGAAAAAAAGAGAACTTTTACAGTTAACGCCTACTGCAATAGAAAAAATGGACTTGTGAAAATTGCTGGATAAGATTTTATTAGAACAATTATGCTATATATCAACATTTTGTAGGGCATCTTACATATGACATGGATATGCTGTGATTGTAATTTGAAGAAATATACTTTTATCTGTTTCAGCTGTTAGGGATTTGTCATACTCTTTTACAAGTTTGCCCTTCTTGATTATGCTTTACGCTTGATTGTCTCTGTTTCCAAATATTATTGTAATTAATTCTTTCCATATTGCACATGAATGAATAAAACATCATGTTTGTAATAATTTGCTTACAGGCTCTGGTTGAATCAACTGCAATAGAGAGTGATGTTGGCTGAAGTATGAAGTTCCAGCAAATTGCACTTCTGGTCATGAACTGAAAAGGCTGCATCCTTCTATTTTGTTGGCATGCAGATTTGCCCCGTGGTGGGGGCAATTCATGGTCTTCTGTTGATACTGATGACAAGTTGTGGTGTAGAATTCATTGCTACCAAATTTCTCCCAAGATTAAGCTGTCAATTTATTTCATGGTATGTTCACATAATCTATTAAGCCCCACGATTTTACTCGCTAATAGCATCTTCAGGGGTTCATTGCTTCACAGTTGCCTAGTTAAATATGTATTGGAAATAATTTTAGCACCAATTACATTTTCAGCTTGCATTAAGTTCCTTCTCATGAATATGTATGAAATTTAGGTAGTAATCCTTTTCTTAGTCGTCTCACTTACAACTCGAGAACACTTTTCATTCAGTTCATCATATTTTGAACCATATTTCAGGCTAGCATCATTAAATTTTGTTCCCCTCTTATCTAAGATAGTAAACTTTAGTTAAATCTCATACAAAAGTAAATTTCAGATTAGATTTACTACAAAAACATAATAGGATATCTGAGTTTAGGTTCAATGAAAGATGATGAGGAGGACAAGAATATGCTTTCAGTTTTGATTGGGTATAATATGGTCGCGGAAGAAAAAGTGTCCAAATGCATCAAAAGGTACGCTTGAAAAGACATTTTAGAATTTTGTACTGAATCAGACATTGTAGAATTTTGTACTGAAACATCTTTGTTGTTTAACTAACAGTTTTCTTCTTAATATCATATAGAATTAAGATTTGTTGATGCTTTCAATATACAAGTTTCAAATACGTTAAAAATCTGTCAGTTTCAGAACCCTGTGTCTCTTGTATGGAAAAAAAGGGTTGAGAGGGAGAATCTTAAGAAAAGGGACTGAGAAATAAGGTAGTTAGCATTAGCTTGTGAAAGCAAAGAGGAAATTAAGGTGGAAAGTTCAGCAGCAGAGAACTTTCGGTGCCTTGAACAAATGAGGGAAAGGTAGCCAGCCTATCCCAATTTCCTCTTGCATGCTTTATAATCATTGAGCAATTATTTATCATTGGAGATTGATAGCTTCTCAACGGTTCCAACTAATTAGAGAAGATTCCATTTCATTCTAGAATATTGTTCGGTTTAGTACTGTTCGGGGAGTGAAGTAAGTTAATTCCTGTCGATGTATATTTGTTGGATTGTCCATCTTAACCCGAAGCACACTCACTAAGATTTGAATGATCCACGAGGAATAGTATGCTGTGTATTTTGTCAGAACAATTATATTTGTATGATACTATGCATTTTAGGCCAAACACACCCCAATTCTATTAGTAGAGTTGTTAACCTTGTTTACAAATTTGATATGAAACTTTGCTCACTCCTAAATATTGTTGTTGGATTATCTTTTGACTCTGTATGATTAGATATCATCCCCGATTATCGAGTTTCTCGGATTATAAAACCCTCGCGGAATATAAGTCTCTCCTCCCTTTTGTTTGGGTTGGAAGCACTCTTGTAAACATTATGGCATGCTTCATATTCCTCATTGAAATGTCTTCACAGCTTGGACAAAGTATATATGCTCCAAATTTGCATGTCAGATACTCATTTTAAGACTATGGACATGAGTCAAGGATTTATAAATAGGAACTAGCTCACTCAATATATACCCTATGATCAGACAAAGACTACAAAAAGTGACATAAACAAACACTTATTTGTCCAGGCTACGTATTTTTTTAGACTGGGAAAAAGAAATAACATGAATTCTACCAAAAGAAATAACCTACAAATTTTCATATTTAAAATAATAGAAAATTTGTCTTGTGTGTTCAATTTTTTTTCCCGGACTGCATTTGAATTATAACACTACTTTATTAACCCGAGCGTAGCTAGTTAACAAATTTTCAACTAAAAGATTACAGGTTCAAATAGTCGTGAAAAAGAAAAATCTCGTTACAGGGAGTTTAATTTATCTCTATTTTTCCTTTGTTTCAGTAGAACTAAAGGGTCATTATCTTGTATGGATAAGGGCAAATCAGTCCTACTTGATGGAAGATATATAGAAACATATGGGGGAAAAGACAAAACACTAGATAGCATCAAAATCAAATCTCCAACTTTTTCTTCTTTTTCTTTTGAAGAACAATCTCCACTCTTTTATAAATGGGAATAGAAGTTATAGAGCATACAAAAGGGGAAAAGAAAACAAATGCTCACTTTTTTCTTTTTCATTTATTCATGAGAGTGAATTTAACCAAATTCTGTTAAAAAATTATTCGATATATAGACATGAACATTCATGAACTATGAATCGAATATGGCTCAAAGTTCGAGTTAAAATATCTAGCTAGTTTTAACAATGTATGGGAGATTAGGTTGAGAAAAATAATATAATTATATTTTAGGATATTAGCAATTCTAATGTAAAATAAGAAAAGAAAATCAAATATTGATAAAGATAAAAAAAAAAAAAAAAAGCACACAAAAATTTAGGAAGAGAACAAACACTCAGGGCGCTTTTATTTTTATATTATACTCCCGTTTACACTTTCTTTAGTATATCATCAAATATTTTTGGTCCAAAAGTTAAATAAGAATTAATTAGATATGAAAATCACATAGAATTAAAAAGAGAAGGAAAAAAAAGACTCTCTCTCTCTAATATATAATTCTAATTAAACTCTTAAAATTAATTAGTCTAAAAGCCTAATCACATGATAATTACTCAATTAGCCTCAGAATTTGAGTGTAATTTCACTTCCATTGCTTTCCTCTCCCTCTTGCCTCAGCGCCGCCAAGTTCCCCTTTCTCTCTCCTCCGCCGCCGCTCTCAGCTTTCCAGCTGCCGCTTTCCGACTTGCCGCCGTCCTCAATGCTCTCGGAGCGGTCTCCGTTTCCCCGTCCATCGGATTCCGGCGAGCTTTGGGCCTGGGCGGCGGCGGCCTTGTACATGTGCAACTGCTGGTGGAGCTGGTGGTGCGGCAGCGCCGGCGCCGGTGGATAGAAATCTTGGTGCACCGGTGGTGCACAGTAGGAAGTTGGGTGTGGGCCGTAGAGGGCGGGAGCTCCGCCGTGCGCCGCCGCCGCCGCCGCCGTGGCGTACTCCGGTGGAACCCAGATGCCTCCTAAGACGACTAGCTGCGGCGCCGGAGCTCCGGCGGCTTGTGGGCTTGGACTAGGCCTTCTTGTGTGCAACCTGTATTTCTGTGTGGATAAAATTGGAAAATCATTATATACAAAAAATGTTGCTTTTTATAGTTTAGGTTAAATTACCTCTATCTCCTCTAAAGTTCTAATTTAGTTACTGAGATTTGAAATTAGTTTTAATTTGACCGTTTAATTAAATCTCACAAATCGTGCTTGTCATAATTTTATTCTCCTAATATTTTCTATTTAGTTGACTATATTAGAATTAAGGAATAAGCAAAAATAGAGAAAAAAAGGATTTCAACGGAGTATATATAAGACAACTTGTAGATGATTAGTAGGATTTAACAAAACTGCAAAAACTAAATTAACCACCGGGTAGTGGCGTAGTAGGTTTGTGATTGAATGGAGATATCCTCCCGATTCGAGCCCTGTGGAGTGCGTAGCCAAGGCTTTCCCCTCCACCCCATTTTAGAAACGAATCCCACAACGTTAATATGTTCACGCCCAATTATAGAAATCCCAATAATAATAAAAACGGAATTGAAGTTTCTAAAACTAGAAGAACCAAGCTGAATTAAATTGATCAAAAACATAAAATTGAATGGAAAATTTTAAAATGATAAAGACTAAATTAAAAATTAACTCACCCCATAAGAACCAAATATTCATAATCTAACCCATTGTTTATATAGCTTAGTTAAAAACTTGACAAATTAATGGTTAAAAAGAAAAATATGAGAGAGAACCTGCAAATGGCTTTTAACCTCATCATTGGTCAAACCGTCAACCTTCATCAGCTCCCTGATCTGCTTTGGGGTGGCAACTGTATTTTTCAGACAAGAAAAAGGCAGAAAATAATTACCAATTAATTAATCAGTGAAGACCTTTGTAATCAAATGATGAGAAAACTATGAGAAAAACACAAGTTTCCAGAATATTCTCAACCAAAAACAAAAAGAATTAAAAAAACAAGATTTCTTTTCTTAAAGAACCCAATTTCGTTTTCTTCCACAATCAATCAAAATTCACCTCAATTTGATGTTTATCTTCAAGAAATCATTACAAAAAACCATCAATTTTCCCAAAAAAGACACAGACACATGTTTCTCCAACATCTCACTTTCTTCTCTCTCTTAGTCAAAATTGGGGGAAAAAAAACTCCAATCTAAAAAGAAGAGATCACATATTTTTCAAATGATATGGAATTTCAAAGAACAAAAAGCTCAAATTCATCATCAAACTAAAGATATGAAAAGAATCTCCTGAAAACCACAACCAAAGTACAAGTTTTTTTTTTCCCTCACCTTGGGAACCACCAAGCATTTGAAGAGCATTAACAAATCTCCTGTGCAAATCCGGCGACCAGCACCTCCTAGCCTTCCGGTGAGTCTGATTTGTGGAGTTGTTATTGTTATTATTCGCCGCCGGAGTCGAAATATTATTACTCGTCGTCTGCCCCTCGCCGGCGGCCAGCAAATTATTATTTTCCGGCTGGTGATGATCGGAATTAACACACTCGTTAATTTCTTGATCTCCACAGCCGGCGGCGGCGAGGGCCAAATCCGGGAGCTGAGCAGTGGTGGCAATAGTTGTAGAATTTTGGGTGTTGCACAAATTTCTATCTTTTGAGAATGGAAGAAAAGCTCCACCAATAATCCCATTATTATTGTTGTTATTTCTATGAAGTTTTGCTTCAAAATTACCCAAATCGAAACCAACTTCTTCAGAATTGTTCTTGTTGGCTTCTTTTGAAGAGGAAAGATTTGGTTTCGTTTCATCATTTGGTGTTGTTGTTGTTGTTGCTTGGCTCCAAAGTTGGGCAGATGTCATCCAATTTGCCTTATCAGAAATGTTTGATATGGTTTCTGAGCCTTCTGAGGTTGATTGTTTTATGGGAATGAACTCTTCAAGAATTGGTTTTGTTCCACTTTGATTATTGTTGTTGTTGTTTGCTCTGCAGCCTTGGAGCTGCTGCCTAGAAGTCTCCAAAGCTATAATATAAAACACACACACATAAATTAACATAATTCAATCAAAACTTTTACATACATAATAATTAATATATATCATTCAAATTAGAATGTTGTTTCATGAGAGAATATGGGAAATTTTATGATCAAAGGTGAGATGAAGCTGACCAATGAAGAAAAAGACACAAGAAAACGTAAACTTTATTTTAAAAAACAAACCTTAACAAATTAATAAAATAGTTAAGATTTTATAGTTTTTCTTCTGATTTTTTGTCCTTCGTAAGAAAATTTCAAATTGGGTAGGAATTAAAATGGAATTAGCAAAAAGTAATGGGTTTGTTCTCTCCCTGGTCCGAGCCTCGTAGGGCTCATAATCAGGGTTTCTCCCCTCTCCCAACAACGTCGGTTACAGTGTTGAGTGACCGTCGACACCTCTCAATTATAGGGATCCAGCTGGGGAAGCCACACGGCGTCGATTCGGGTTATCACCGAGAGAGAAAAAAAAAGGATTTAGTGGCATACCATTGGTTAAAAGTTGCATGCAAAGAGGAAGTTCACGTTTGAAAGCATCAATTTTGAGTCTCTCTCCTTCAAGTCTAGAGAGCAAATCTTCAAGCTGGTTCTGGTTGTAGTGATGTTGAGGAGGAAGATGAGGCATCTGATGATCTGATGACACAAATGATTTCAGCAACATAGAGTAGCTGTGAGGCTTGCAATCAACAACCCCACTTACTTCTGAACCGGGAGATGGCATTTTTTTCTTCTCTTCTCTTCCAATGAAACTTAAACTTTGATCATATCATGTGGAAAACAAACAAGAAAAAAAAAACTGTGTTGTTGGGGTTTGAGATCAGAGATGAGTGAAGGAATTAATATTGTTTATGAACACACAAGGAGAATCCAGGGAATAAAGGGAAAATGGGATAAAGAAGGAGGGTAACTTCTTGCAAAGAACAAAGGCAAAAATAAGTAAAGAAGAAAAGCTAAAAGAGAAGAGAGAGAGAGAGAGAGAGAGAGAGAGATGCTCTGACATTAGAGGGATCATGTGCTTAGGGCCTGGTTTTGGAACCTTTAAACACAGAATTCAAAATCACTAATACAAAAGTTGTATGATTCTTCTTCTTTCTTACAATTTGCCCCTTTTTTCTCTCCTTTTCTTTTTTGCCATTCTTTAACACACCTTCATTCTTCTGTCCTACTTTTTCATTTAATTACCAAACCCTATTATCTTCAATGATATATTATATTATAATGTTTTTCATTCAATATTCTCTCTCTCTTCTTCTTAGCTTTCTTTTTCCCTCAAAGTTTCAACTTGTCATTTTTTAAATGCATATCTGATCTACATCTCTTAAACTTATCTCCAACTCTTTTACTAAATTCAATTTGGATGGATATGAAGGAGAGAGAGACATGTACTACTCTTCTCTATCTACCCAACCCCATGCATGCAACTTTAATTTCTTTTGGGTTTCAAAAAAGCTGCATCATTCTCTTCTAAAACTTTGTGTATTAATTACAAAGCCAAGCTCTTTAATTTCCTTTCTTATCTCTATTATGGGTATGAAGATGAATTTGTTTTTGTATTATGCTTGAACCTAAAAGGTGATATCTTTGCTTATATATATCAATGATATCACTCCTGTTTAATTTGTACCCTCACAAGATATCAATATTATCGATGAAGAGTTTCGTCTCAAAATTAAACCAATTGACAATGAGAGAGATAGTCTATGTCTATTATAAATCATTGTTAGATCTATTAGCTAGAGACTCAGCTTTGGTTACCAATTTGGATTCTGTTTGTTGTTTTCAAATTCACTCAATCAAATGGATTTAGTGAATATAGGTTTGGTAGTGTTTGGCAGATTTATTTTTTGAAACTGTTTTCGAATTCTGTGATCCAAACAGTGGAAATTTTGAAAACAATATTTCTATGTTTTTAGTGGTTGAACGCTTTAAAATGCATAATGACATTAAAAAAAAAGATAAAACATTGATAAGTATATTATTTCATGTTATAAACTAATTTTTTTTTGGTTAAAATTAAAACATGTAAAATACCAATATATTATATATTATACATTGTAAAATAATAATTATACTTATTAATTTGTAACAAAAATGTTAATGAATTAATTAATATTATTTTAGATTAAACTAAATATTTAATCGGTAACCACTCCCAATTTATAAATACATTACTAAACACACGTTGAACAATTTTTTAAATTGAAATTCAATTGTCAAATCTACTGCCAAACAACATATATCTGAAAACACTAAAAACAAAGAATAGAACTATATTTTTCATTGATTCAGATTTTTGTTTTCTAATCACCAACCAAACACAGCCTTATCGAGAATATCTCATCTTTAGCGAAACATTAACTTAAAATATTAATGTGATATATTCTGTAAGAAAAGAATATCTTAATTCCAATTCTACGACTCTAAATTAAGGAACACAACTCAACTCACAAAAGCTTTAAAGAAACACAAAAATAGAGAGAGATTACTGTGAAAATAAGGGAATCTGCTCCAATTTGCTTCTACTTTCTTTTCAGGGAGTGGATGGGAAGTAACAAGATTCTCACTCTCACATTTACAATTTTACATACACAAAATTCCACTCTTTCCAGTTCATGATGTACATGAGGGCTTCAAAAAATGTCTTTTTTTTTTTAATAATAAAGGAAAAGAGAAGAAGCTCATACTTGTTATATACATGTTTATACTTTTATTAGATATATTAAGATCCATTTATTTATTGAATAAAATGCAAAATAACCAATTAGAAAGTGATCATGTTTAAAAAGATAAAGTAAAAACCTTTATTTATTGATAAAGAGGCAAATTATAGTTTGTGCATTTCAAATTGATTTTGTTTTTTCTTTCAGATCTTGTATCCCAAAAGATTGAAATTAATGAATAGGTTAGAGAAGCAATAGTTGTTGTAGTTAATTAATTACTTCTCTTTTCCTTTCCTTTTTTTAAAATATCTTTCAAAAGTTGTTATGAGTTCAAAGGAAGATTTGGGGTAGACCACAAACTTTCCTTTTTATTTTGTTGGCCAAAGCCTATGGGAGATGACATATTTTGAGATTCTCTCTTTTAATTTGCCCTAAAAACTCAACAAACAACCCTTCTAAATAATATTCCAATTTGATAGAGAAAATTGTTAAACCCTCAATCTTTCATAAACTATCAATTTCTCTCTTGTAACATCTAACTGTCATAAACGAACAATAACATTATGTCTGCTACAAATGATGACCGTATGTGGATTGCTCTTAATTATAACATGTTATCGTCTTTTACAAAAGAATGACCAACACCCCTATTTCATTTGATTGTCACTTATAAAAAAAATTATGTTTATTTCTCTCTCCTATTTGTTAATAGTTTAATAATGGTAAGATTAATATTAACAAAATACAACTCCAAAACAAATCCTACTTGTTTTAATTGTTTTGGAAACTCAGGCACCAATTACGCATAAGAAGAAGAAAAAGAAAAATATGTTAGCCGACAATTATTATTTTTTTTAAAAAAAAGAGAAAAAATGTATGGATATGTTGGAATTTTGATGGAAAAAGAAGAAAGTTAAATTGAAAAAAGTTGGTCACAGAGAGAGATCAGTTGGGAGACTGCATCGAATTCTCTTGCACTGAAAAACACCAAAAGAAAAAAAAGAAAAAAAATGATAATGATGATGGTTGGTCACTTTCTCAACCACTCTTCTGTTATAAGCTTCCAATCCTCAACTTTTCTGCACATTCTCTCTCTCTCTCTCTGTGTTTTAGGGTTTGTGGAGGAGAGAGAGAGATATCATGAAAAAAACTAACCAAGGACAGAGAGATTCTTCCTTGTGATGACACGTGTCCAATTATTCCCTCCAAATCGTCCTTTTGGATATCCTTTCTGTCTGCACCAAATATATTTTTTATTATTGTTATTATTTAGTTTGAAGAATATTCTTCCACTCTCAGCCCCCATTTTCTGACTTTCCTCTCTCTTTTATATCTCTTAGTCACCTTCTAATATGCATTACCGTTGAGTTGGTAAAAGACCCTATCCATGGTATATAAGAGAAATCAACTATTTTCATATAGGTACGAGACTTTTAGGTGAATTCAAAAGTAAAATTTATGTCGAAAGCAGACAATATTATACCCTTGTGTACATTTTTGGGATACGAGGGTACCATTGCAAACCCTTATATTTTACTCTTATTATACCCTCCTTCTGTTTGTTTACAAGTCAACACATTATTTTAACAGATAGGAATGCTCTCTCATTCATTTTAAATTTGTAAGTCTAGAAGTGTACCTTTTGAAACTTCAAAGACAAATTATGGACGCTAAGCTCAAACCTCATAGACCAAAATTGTATTTTTTTTCCCCCTATTTTATACGTATCCTAAACTCTGATCCAAATACATGTTGTTGAGTGGAGTTGGCTCAGGATCGAGATGATATTTTCTGAAACTACATAGCTAAATATTATTAAAGTATATACATGAGAACCCATGTTAATGAAAATGTCAAAAGACTCATAAAAATTATATATTCAATTCATACACTTATAATAACACAAAAATCTTATTTTCTATCTTTTAGCTAAGTTTTGGTTGTAAAGTTGAAACCCTAGGGGCTCTAATTGAAGACCATCATATTGGGTATTATAATTAAGATAAAAGGAGGGGAAAAAATACTTTATACTTTATACATTAATGTATTTAAAAAAAGAAGAAAGAAGAAAGAAAAATACAATATGCTTAAGTAGTGGTAGATACTTATCATTAAAGTTAAAAAAGATATACGGATGAGAGGAAAGTGAGATTCTATTATTCCGAAACCTAATTAATTACAGCAAAATTATACCTTATTGCAATTTGATAAACTCAAGATCAGAATTTCAAAGCTATATTCAATGGATTGGTCCAAAGAGAAAGAGGAGAAAAAAGAAAAGAAGTTAAGAACAGAACCAAAACTTTATGTTGCATTTATAAGAAATATTCTTAAGCTTTGACAAAAGCCAGCGATGGCTACACTTGTGGGCTATAAGGCCCTCTCCAACAGAATCATTTATTGCTCATTTACAAATAGTTGATGTTAAACCCAAAATTGTGCCATGCAAAAAAGAAAATATTCTCCAAGTTCTTTGCTTTGGGAGATTAATTAGAGATTCGTCATTTCTTCATATCCTCTTGAATTTAATGTTGAGACATCGAGTCGTCGATCTCTATCTTGTATGATATTATAATTACTTTATTAACTAAAACTTGTATGGTGTTGTATCCATATTTATTCTAAATGAAATCTCTAGTATTTCTTCAAACAACTCTAGTTGATGTTGAACTTTGATTGTATCCCACCTTTAATATTAGGTTATTATAATTCATTGGGTTACAATTAAACTAGAAAATAATTCGTTAAATGCTCTAGCTAAGTTCTAGTGGATCAGGGGTGCAAGAGAGAGAAAAAAAACCTATTTGGACTAAATTGATCGAGTTTGTTCAATCAATCTAAACAACACATGTTGGTCGGTTCTAGCTCACATTGAAGTATTCACTAACGAGGGTCTTGCTAAACCTCAAAACAGCAAGGAAATACTCTGTGGTGGTGCAATGCTATTGGCTTCATTCTTTAATGGTTTTGGCTGGAAAGAAACGATCGAAATCAATATCTTGGCCTCATCCTCGTCTTCCAAATCTCCATTTTTTTATAGGATAATTGAAAATCGATAAAATTTAGGTACTTGTGAATAGATATGAATGAAAAAGAAAGAGAGAGAAAATATACTGTTAATTTTTTATTGTCAGCTATAAATAGGAAGATACAAACTACTTACTAGCAAGAACTTGAGTTTTATCCATTAAAAATGAAGTGAATCGACCAATTATACCCTCACTAATTGGAGATTAATTATTTTATTATACAAAATTAAGTAAACTATTTTGTTTGTCATAGTTATAATAATTTATTTTTTGAAAGAAAAAAAAAGAGTTAGATGCTTGTAGCAAAGCATGAATAGGTTGGTATA